GTTTCTTTGGTTATTTATCTATTAACGAATCCAAAACCGAATATTTTTGGTAAAGTTTATATCTCTGCTAATAGCACACATGATAAATGAGAACGCAACCATGATCAGATCAAGAAATTTTGTTCGCTTTTCAACGATGATGTAGAGAAGTTCACATTGAGCGTCTTGAAAATGAATTGATCGAATTGAATGACTGGTGAGATTCAATGGTATCTTTGGAGTAATCAATGGTACTCAAACCTTTACACTCAATGAATGTAGATGAGGTGCTCGATTGATAAGACTTTGCAGTTGACATTTTGCCCTATTGACATCGATCAAGGGAAAACATGTGACTTGTCAATTAATCGAATCGTGACGAGTCGCACAATAAGCGCCCAATATAGATGAAGATGTTGAATATTAGAAAATCATATGTGCGTAAACACTAAGTAAATCAAAGGTGGTCCATTATCATCGTAAACATTATTTTCATGATAATAAGAGCAAAAATTATCTTCCGATAAACATGTAGACTTGGTACGAGTAGTGCAACTCGATGACTGAATAACAAAATAATCTGACAAATCAAGTGGAGTATAGAGAAAGATGGAAGTGTTCATGTCCTCTGGTATCTATTGACACTGAACGAACCACAGACGATTCATGAGCCAATATGAAATGCAATACGAATCAAGTAAACACGCAATTGCTTTTTCCTTATCATCACAATCATTTAGTGTTTTGTAATAAATTAAGCATTCCACTAGTTGCATCAGAAACGATGAGACTCAATGTTAAGATAGATTGAAAAGGAGATTTCAATTGTTTGTTATCGTCATCACCAGTCAGACAAGCATATAGGAAGTGAATATTCGGCGTACATTGAAATAGGTAAACGAATTGGTTCATACACCATTTAACATTTTGAACTAATACGTGTTTAATAGATTCAGATAAATGTATTGGAGTAAAAATTTGGTCATTATTTAGATAGTGGAAATCTAATAAACAATGAGTAAGTTTTTGTAGTGTCCAAATATAGTTAATAATGTCATAATGAATTTAACGGCAGTGAGTAAAGAAACATTGGATAAACTGGAGAAAGGTCAAATGAGAAAGATAACAACATTAAAAGACAATTTTTGTCAATAATTCATTTGAACAAATATAACGAAATAAGAGTGTTTGCAAATTGATAAATCGTTGAAGAGTATAGTCATCTAATAGAAACAAATCCATTTGACATGATATGGGTTTTTATCTTCTTTTTCTCTCTCACCCCCACACTCTATACAAAAGATCCACATAAAAAGTAGGGTGTAAGTTTAGAAATCAAACCGGTCTACTTAAGTCATTATATTTACATCATCATTTAGCACTCCTAGAATGGCCATCAGCATCTGTTGCTATGCAAAAAAATACCGTGAACGTTTATTCTTGGTAAATATCTGAAGAAAAATTATATCCAAAATAATTTTGTGAAAATTGAATATAAAAGTATATGCCATTGAAGAATAAGGGAACTGATAAAACTATGGTGATGTTTATTTCACTAAAAAGAAGACTAACAATTACGAAAAGATCATAATTCATTTTGGAACACATCCATGTGAAAAGATTTTGATAGCACACAACAAAACCTACTTTTAAACGTACTTATGAAATTATTCTTGTAAAATGAAAGATTTTTCTTTTTAAGTTGAAAATGCGATGATATTCTTTCAGATTAACAGATAGTTTTTACTAAGAAATAAATCAAAAGCATTTCTTACTGGTATCGATGAAGAAATTTCTATATTTGATATAGAATTTGAACGAATACTATGAAACAATTGGGAAATAGAAAATTAATAAAATGCAATTTTTCTGACTTCTTGTTGATTTCCACTGTGGTTTCTTAAATGGTAAAAAGAATTTAGAACAGCAAAAAATAAATTAAGCTACACTTTGAATTTTTTTGATATACTACTGTGTTCGTTCACGTTTACTTATTCACTTATTGATTATGCTTTTGCCGAATTAAATATTGAAAATATTTCAGTTATAAGTTATTACAGTTATGTTTATATGAATTTACTTACTTGTTATGTATGGTAACATAGTTTTTGATATTTTAGCCTTTTGTTTTGCTTAATTATCGTTGGTTATAAATCAAAATATGTATCAGTCAAACGAATAAAAAACTTGAAATAAATGAATAAGTAGCATGTGATAATATTTTTCAATACTCTGTGCAAAAAAAGAAGCAATACAATGTTACTATTCGTTCATTGTTGGCAACCTTTTATGAATTCTAATATGAGTTTATAGATTAGTGTTAATAAAAGAAACATATATAACTAGAGCATTCTTGAATCATGGAAATGCAATTTTTTAATAGTCACATAACAGCTTATCATAAATTTACAATTCTTCTATTTTTTATGAATCAAATAAAGTTGCACAATGATGCTTTTAGAAAATGTTTTTGTTATGTATTTGTAATAAAAATTTATGTGAATTAAATAGAATATCCATGATTAAGGTAAGCATTCATAATACCATCTTTCTGTATATTTGCATAAAGAGTACATTGATGGTGATTTGTTTTTTTTTTTACTTTTGAATCAAGAAATAATATGCAGACATGTACGATTCTTTTTCACATACATATACGTAAAAAAAAATAATTATTAATAAATACAGGTTTGTATAGAACAGCAGGTTTTGTTGTTGTGATGTAGACAGATGTTGAAGTTGTTTGAGTTGTAAATATGAGTAAACAAAATTTTAATGATTTTTATATGAGTCGTACAAATTACTAAAAGAACAGCAAATAACATAACACAAGAAAACAAAAATTTCTTATTATTAAATACATATTTCAAAATAATACAAATCAAAAATTATTCTAGAAAGATTATGAGTGATGATGTATTCCTTCTGCACACGACAAGATTAAAGTCCATAATAAAAATTAAATTTTACGAGAAAAAATAGGCACATAAAAAAAAAATGATTAGCTAAGATATAATCATTTTTGTAAAGTTGTGATGTTATATGTGATTATCAAACGATGTTCAATAGAATATTTTGCAAAGCGATCAATTTACATTTATAAACATTTACCAAAAATCCAGAAATAAATTTTTAAAAAGTTAAATAAATTTAAAATAAAATCTAAATATGTTTGAAGTATTCTAGAATGTGTTTACAAGCCTTTTAGTATCTTTAGAATGTAACAGGGACATGGTGCGATCATTTTCTTACAGAATATTCTTTAGTGATGATCGGATTTTCGTTATTTATGATTTTTTTTTTCTGAAGTCATGCATTTTGATGATTGTATTGTTGAGTTTTAACTTATGCTTTTCATTAAAAAAATTCTCAGAAATTTACAATCTAAAATAATTTTACAGGATAATACCGCACTTGTCAGGCATCGAACTGAACTCGAACCAGTGGAAGTTGATAGTTATCGTTAAATACTGTCAATGATGAATTGCTTTTTACATTAAAATATTCAATTTTCTTCTTTATTATGAAATTCATTTTGTATTGATAACAATATAATAAAAAGTACGAATAATAAATCAAGAAAAAAAGAATTTTTATTTGAATAAAAAGAAACAATTGTGTAGTGCGAGATTTTTTGAATTTATCATTTTCAATGGATTTTCAGAAAACAGTTCAATAGGATGAAGTATGATAGCTGCTTTTACATATAACCTACTAAACCAAAACGATTCAAAGATTGTAGATGTGGTTAAACAGAATATCAACATCTATACTCACATTCTTCTTGATATTATTAAAAGTACTGGTTATAAATGCAAGTTTTAATCCAGATGTTGTGCAACTTTCTCGTAAACTTTAACGACATGGTTTAAAAAAGTCTTCGTTAAAACTTCAATGGCTAAAATATGTTTAATGGATACATGTAATCAACTTATTTACTAGTTAAATCAAGGATTGAAATCATAATAAAACATACGATATGAAATATAAATCAATAAGCCAAACAGAAATTAGAGCACAAAATAAATGACAATCTATTCTGTTTGATTTAGAAAATTTAGATATGATTGTTATAACAGAGATCGATTCTAGTAAAAAGGAAAAACGGTAAATAAATTAATTCTTGTTGCTATGTTTTCATTTTATGAATCGATATTTTTAGTCTTTATTGAGGGTGTGGGTATGGATGACAGAGAGAGAGTATATGATTCATCAACATATCCAAACAACATCTACATCCACACCAAGACTATGATAAGATATATCGTATTTTGAATGTGTTCAAGTAAATCAACATATAATTTTTCTAGATTCGATTCATTTATGAATGCTTGTTCAAATTGACGTCAATGTTCAATATTCGTTAACTAAAATAAATAAAATAGATTTTGCTTTTTTGTTGATATAATTGATATTTGCAGGTTTTCTTTTAATATACCTGCAGATACTATTTTTGACCAGCTATAAGAAATAAACGATTGTCTGATTCTTCAAAACGAGCACTGAAACGTGATAACGTCAATAAAAACCTAAAAAAGTAAAAGATATACCATATTAACTATGAAAATTCATTTTGATATTTCATGGCGAAATTTATTGATTTTGTATTGATCGTCATTCCTTCGGATTGTAACAAAGAGTTTTTGTTTTTCATTAATGTTTTACTACTTATCTTTTCCAAATAAATTGTAATCGAATATGTAAGTCTTGATAATTTTTAAAAAAGAAAACTAGGAAGAATATTTAACCATAGGCAGAAACAAAAAATAGTTCATCCAACAGCCCAAATACGACTTCACTCTATTTTATTCATAAGAATAAATTCAGAAAAACTCATGCAATTTTAAATCACTATGAAGTCATTAGTATGAAATTCCAATACAATTTCTTTTTTTCTTTAAAGATCAAGGATAAATGATTTACGTAAATACTTACAATGCATCAACAATTGTATGTATATGTAAGCATTTGAGGATATAATTGTTATGTTGATGCAGCAAATTCTAAAACTATTTTATTCATTAAACGATCCGATAAACCAATATATATGCAAGTAATAATGTTAATGGACATAATAAAAGGAAAGCTTCATATGCTAATGTTGATGATTGTTTTGTACGTGCATATAATTCTTCAACAAGTTCAATAAGAAGATTATCTGATGATGATATTATTGACGAACTATCAATTATTGTTTGTTCATTATTTAATGAATTTGTATTTTTATTTGGTCGTTGTAATAATGTATAAATACTTGAAAGTATTAACACTATATATCATTTTTGGGATATTGACCAACTATTAAAAGTTTTTCAAGACTAATTGATATAATTTTTTGTGTTAAATTATCATCATTAATTAATGATAATCAAATATCATATGAATTTAAATCAACTTCATGACTTTCAAGTAAAAATAAACATGATGCATATGCATGAATTTTAGTTAATTTAAAATCGTGTTCAATTAAACGTAGATATAATTCATTATATTCTTTTGTTGTTTGTCCAAGTAATATACCAGATTTACATAAATTATAACTTATTAAGAATATTGTTAAATCATCTTCATCAAACCATGTACAAAAATATTCATCATATAAATTTGATAAATGTTGTGATGATGTAAATAAATCAGATAGATATATTAATGAACCTATTAATTCATATTACATATATTTCAATTAGAATTTGTAATGATGATGTTGAATCAAGATCATGATGAAAAAATAATCGATCAAATAAACTCTAAATTATATATTTTTAAAGATGGATGCCAGCAAAGAAAATATTCATACTCTAATTTTCTGATTGATAGAATAGATTTGAAATGATTGATATAAGCTTTTATCTATATGAAATAAGATAGTTTACATGTATTATATATCAAATCAAAGTCAGAGAAACACTAGATTTTCTCTTTGATGAAATTAATAATTTAGCAATGAATTTATCTTTCTTTTAACTTAGAGTTCTATTTGTCGATTATTAAAACATATGTGAGACTTACATTAACTGATAATGGTAATGTATTATTACTTTGGATTGATGTTCATATAGTATCATATGAAAGTTGCCCATAGGATAATAAATCACGTGTATCTAACCGTTCAATATTTGTAAATAAATTATTTGAACTTGTATCTAATGTTGAACATGTTTGCATATATTGACCACCGATAAAAAAAGAACAGATAAAATCTAGTTTATTTTTCAATCTTGTTACTATTGTATTGCATTTGTTTCTAAAGTTTCTTCTTTTTTTTTAAAATTATTTGTTGTTTGTTTATTTTCATCATTACATTGATTTGTAGTGAATTAATTGAAGCTAAAAATGAAGCTTATATTTCTTGAAATTGTACTCTTAATAATCAACCAACTCCAAAATTGTCTGTATATAAATATTGGTAAACAAAATAATAATATAGCTATACAGTATTATTTGATCTATTTCACAACTAATAAATGATTTTTTTTTTTGAAATATATTTATATAAATTATTTCTGATATTAATATTATAAAACGTAATAAATCATGTATATCACCTGTTGAAAATTGACATGTTAATTCAACATAATTTTGTATTTTATCAAAATACATTGATATAGAATCTATGCATGTAATTGAATATGGTTGATTATTAGAGCATGATAAAAGACTTTTTTCATAAATTGTATTAGGTGTTGTTTCAATGTCATTTTAATTTGTTTCATTTGATATTAATCGTTATGTTGATAGAATACTAAGGATAAGACAATGAGATGCATTTGATATAACGATACAAAATCCTAGGAAAACAAACAAAGAACAGATTTATATTGTTTCTTATTTTCTCAAATTAATTTTCATTTACTATAAGAATCATCCTAAAAATTTAATGCTTCGGAAAAAACCCAATACGTTTTCGGAGTTCACGATTTCAAACTTATAGAAAGTTTATCGAAATTCCCGAATGCAATTTATTTCGAAATATTATTTTCGGTTGCAAATAAATAACACAATCGAAAACATCTTACGAAATATAATATTAGAAAGACGTCGTTTTCTTTAATTGTAACAGTACAAGTAGCACGACTAAGAATTTGATCAATAAGATTCGAGAGGAATTATTCGGTCATTGTACTAATGTAGCTTAAATGCTTTCCTTTACGATTTGTATTACCTGAAATTCTGCATATTTTCTATTTCAAAATATTTTTCGAAATTTTGAATTATTCAAAAATCTCATCTATTACTACCACATAAACAATGTCAAAGTAAAAAAAAACATTTCTTTTTATTGGATTAAAATTTTTATTATACATATATATATTTATTTCGATAAATTAAACTAAAACATACCGATGACATCATAAATGGTAATCATTTTTTATAAGTTACATTTTTAAGCATTTGTGCATAAATTTTTCTTGTTATATCCATAGGACAATTAAGATTATTAAAATCTTCTTTAATAATATCAATTGATGTTGTTATTGATAATATTTATAAAATTAATGGTAAATATTCAGGTAATAATTGTTTATTTAATGTTTGTTGATCAAGTGTTAACATCATTTCAATACGATCATAAACAATTAATTCAACTAAACGTAATACAGATATATATGGTAATGGAAGAAATTGTTCAATTAATAAAACTAATACAAGACCATTTTCATCTAAATGTATTCATTCACAAACGAATAAATGACCTGAAACTGATGTACGATGTGTAAGATCAAATAAATTATGTACATTTATTTATCACTTTGTTCAAATAAAAAAAAAATAATAATAATTGATAATGTGTTGTTATTGATGTAAAATGTTCAACATATAATTCATGATGACATATTAAATCACAATAAGATTGTAATTGACCATTTATAGATAAATGTATTCTTAATGATGATGATGTTAATATCGGTGATTACCATGCTTCTTGTGTATAATCAAGCATATTAAGAATATGTGTTCATTGTAATAATAATGAGATATAAAATGATGATCGTAATAATTTAAAACATTCACTTAAAATAGTTAAATATAAAAATGTATCAAGACGATGTATAGTTTCATCATGAATTCATAATTGATGAAAATCATTTACAATTGTTCGAAATTGTTTAGCTAAAATAAAATCATAGATCTTATAAAAACATAGGCATTTTAAAGTCAAATGTTTTTCGCTAGCTCATTAGTAATTAATGAATTGCAGAAAAGTTTTATCTTCAAATTAATGGGTAATATGTTACTATCATATAGATTATGATGAAAGCTTAAGGTCTTTTGACTTTGATAGAAACCAGTTTTTATCTGTTCAGTTAGTCCATAATATACATAAGTATATAAAGATAATCGGATGCAAGAGAAACTAACGTCATATCGATTTGACCACGTAGTTGTCGAGTATTAGTTAAAATTCGTAATATCACGTCATGTAAAATTCGAAGAAGAGTTCTGAAAACAAAAACGAGAATAATAGTTTTTAAATTATAAATAAAATCATTTCGAATACTTACGCACTAAAAGTTTCATCTCGTGTTCCATTAACTGATGATAAAACATCATTCTATGGTGTTAATATAGCATCGTCAGTTAAATTTTGTACAAAACATCGAAGTATTATATTTATATTGATTAACTATCGATTTGTAGATTGACAATTGACGTTCTAAAAAATTTTATAAATAAAAACAACGAACATTTCTATTTACTAATGCTCAAAAAGCAACAACAAATGGATTAATTGATCGTAATGCAACTGATAACACAGCATCAAATAGTGTTAATTGTGTGGAAAAAAAATCCAAAAGTGATTTATCCTATTTGAAGAAAGAAAAAGTAACGTAAAATCAGAGACTATTAAAAGAACAATAACCTGAGATTGTAAATGAACAAGAAGTACATCGACAATTTGTCGTGAAAGACGGTTCCATTTATCATCTTCAATTTGAACACTATTAACAATAACTGTTAACAATTGTAAAGCCTATTACAATATAAATTCGATTATTATTTTTTTCAGTACATACACATGATATGAGAAGATACTTGTATTTATAATAATTAAGACGCCTAGTTTTCCTTCAAACTCCAATACATAACAACAAGATGATTATTTTCAGATCATCAATTCGTTGAAGTGTGGGTTCAATCGAGGAGAAAAATTATATCTACACACCCACACTCACACCCTCTCGAGTTTCTAAGATATTTGAGACTTTATAGAAGGACCCTTTTTGTTCACTCTCATTAAATAAAACTTTTTAGGAATTTTAATTATTCGCATAACTCGAACAAGAAAAAAAAATCATATAAAACTGGTTGTAATGCTGCCAAAGCTAAATAAAGAATTTTAAGGATAATTTCTTTTTCTCGAAAATGTTTGTTTTTGCTTGCTACCATGTGTTTCAGGTTCATGTCCGCTTGCTAATAATGAATCATAATGTTTTATTAAATCTTGCACTTTAATAACTTGTTTTGAATGAAGTGTATCATATGATAACATAACAAGAAATTCAGCAATACAATAAATAAAATGCTATTTAAAAATAAACGAAACGATTAGAAATGCAACGAATTTCATGAGCTTCTAATTAACCATAATTAACACGAAATAAAAGTAATTGAACAAGTAAATCAAGTACAGCAGCTTGAAAATCACTTTCATTTGTATATTGATATATTTTTTAAGACTAATTTTTTAGTTCAATAAAAACTTAAATAGAAAACAAAAAACAGAATAGATCAAATTAGTTTTTTTTTGTTTATTTTACTCTCGTATTGCACTATTTTCTATGAATTGATCACTATTTATACTTCATGCATAACGTGAACCAAATAAAATAAATTATCGGTTGTCGAAGACATATTGTATGAATATAAGTTAAAGAATTATTTAATGATACTTGTGAAGAAACATTTGAAGATTTAATAAAAACTAAATTAAAAGAATATTTTTAAATAAATGTTGTGTTAACAGAAAAAATGATTTCAAATTTCGAATTGATAGCCTTTCTTGCAGATCGCTCACGTCAACTAGATGATTTAATATTCGAATTTCAAGATAGAACCGAATCAAAAGATCTGACACTTTCACAACAAAACTACTCGTTAAGATCATCGATATTCGCAAAATCAGTTTTTCTATTACTATGACATTCTTATATTGAAATTTTCCTTCTCTAGGAAAGACCCTTCCAGAAACCTTAATTATAAGATTTCCATCTAAAGTTTTATCTGTAGACAAGTTTCAGGCACAATACAACATCCTAAAGGTTTTAGCTTAAACAATAAATAAAGAAGATTAATAATTGAAATTTTCTTTACAATAAATATTTACTATTTAAAAGAAGCTACCTCTTGTGTACATTGAATGTTGATTTAAAATAATTAAGTGTTTCTCTTCCAAATTTTTTTGATGAATCTTGTGTAGAAATAAGACTTAAAACTGATTTCATAGACAATAATGATCATTTCTGATGAATTTAATAAACTTTTATGTATTTGATATGATGAACATATTAATTCGAACAATTTCCAAAAGTACCTAATTGTGTACGATTAACTTTTTTATCTTTGTCTGTATTTGATGTTGTTGATGAATCTTTATCATTCTATTTAAAAAGATAAAAAACAAATGAATTCATTCAGGCGAAACATGATCAAATATATTGTTCAAATCTAACATTTTAGAACTCCTTTCTTCTGTGAAAACTGAAATATCAACTATATTCTGTTCAAAAGAATGATAATTGTGCATATTTTTGCAACAGTTCGAGAGCGATAATAAAATAGTTCAATTTTCAAATTACTGGAATCATTTGTGCTACTTTCAAAACATTTTTCATTTGTTGAGATTTGATAAATCTTCAAATAAAAAGAAAGAATTAAAAAGAAAACATAATAAATATCTTTTTTTGCTCTTTACTTGAAAAGATTAAATTATTAAGATCATGTAACATAAAGGGATGTTTAAAAAAATTTATAAATAAACGAAGTTCATCATATTGATTATGAAAAAATTGGTCGAATTATTGTTGGTCTTAAAACATTTGAAAGAACATAAATATCTTCTAAACATCCAACTTATATAAAAGACAAAAACAACAAACAATTTGTATTCCAGTTAATGCTTGAGCTTGTAATGAATGATAAATTTTATATATCCATTGACATGGTAAAAATAAATTGTGATCAACAAAATCTTAAAATCAAAAAGTAGCTAATAACTAACTTAATGCAATAAAATCGACTTATTCATTCAAATTCGAAAAAAAACTACCTAGTTAACATCTCTACACAATACATACTTAGCAAAAGTCGAAGCAGTTGCTTGACGAACACGTATATCAGAATACCGTTGTTTTAATTGTTATTGTTGTTCAAGATAAGTTAATATTCGAAAATCAATATCATCTATAAGTTGAGCTAGAGCAAACTATTTTATATACATTAAAAAAAATTATTATAATCATACATTTCTTTTATCTACTTTAGCAAGAATACAGGAACTTGTAGTATGTTGAATAGAATCTTCTAACAATTCAATTCTTATGATTGTAAATGCATTCAGTGAAACATGTATAACATGTGCGTTATTATCATTAAGACATATAACCTTGAACTGGGCGTGGGTGTGGGTGGGTGTAGGGTGGGTGTGGGTGTGGGTGGGTGTAGGGTGGGTGTGGGTGTGGGTGGGTGTGGGTGTGGGTGTGGGTGTGTGGGTGTGTGGGTGTGGATGGGTGGGTGTGGGTTGGTGTAGGTGTGGGGTGTGGGTGTGGGAGAGTGTGGGGTTCTGTTTGGATGTGGATGTGTGGTGTGGGTGGATGTTGGTGTCTGTAAGGCTGATGACGTGGATTTGAGATTGTCTAGCAATAATGGGACACAGAGAGCCACCCACATCCACATCAACCCACCGACAAGGTCTCACTGAAACCCGCCCACACCCTCATCATGAGAATTATGATTAATAAACAAAGCGAACGAGACTTATTGATGTTATTCGTTACATGATGTCTGTGAATGAATCAAGGATTTATCAGCTACAGGTATTAAAATATTCAAACGGTTCACTACTTTGACGTTGAAAGAACAGTCTTTACGCATAACTTTTCTTACCTATTTTGCTATGCAGATCGAGAAAAATAATGTACATCAATAAAAAAAAACCTAATGAAAATACATTTATTTGAAAATATTTTCATATTAAAATATTTAATGATCTACATATGATGAAGATCGTATGTCCATTTTCTCTTGTCTGGTGAGTTTTACATGAAGATAATTAACAAGACCAGTCACTACCTGGACATTTCGATGCACAGTGAGAATACCATTTGCTACGAGTGTAACAACGAAGACCAGGTGCACAAAGAGTCACACCAACATACCCTTCACCTATGTAGTGCAAGAAAATTTAATTACTTACATCGAAGAAATGACATATTGAACTTATTATACCTCCACATTGCTCGAACTCCTGAGCAACTCCTGTATCACATGTCCATCCAGTTTGACACTGAGAATGACATTCGGACTCACTAGGAGTTCGCCGGAAACACCTTGTTCCAGAGGCACATATCGTATAGCTTTGATTGTCACATCGTTCATTGGCAGCAATGATTCTTGGAGGTGGAATAACGGTTGATGCATCCTCGACAACTGTACATGCCCAGGCTAAATTTGCAATAGTACATTATATGTGGGCCATCAAAAACAACTACTCACATGGAGGACAAGTATTTGGTCGTCGGCACTAGAACATCGAATAAAATTAAATATACTTCTTATGTAAAATAACTAACATTTGCATAAAACGTAGATCTTGCATAGCAAATCAAACCAGGATCACATCTTTGAAATCTTGGATTCAAGTCCGAACCACCACATTGCTCGAAAATAGCCACCGAACTAATCGACTCGACAATCACGAAAAAAATATTAAGCGCTAAAAGTTTGAACCTCATGCTGACTTATTCAATTGATAAAATGCCGACTAATGTAGTGCATGGGTCCGAGTCATTTGGCCGACAATCACTTGGCCGACACATCACTTGACCGACACCATTTCGCCGACAAATTGTTTGGCCGACATGTACACTTCACCGACAACTCATTTGGCCGACAAATATTTGAAGTAAAATAAAATGAAATTTCTTGAAAATATTGCGTCAGAAAATCTTTTTATCAAAAGTCACATTTATTTACAATGAAAGATTATGGGCAATGCCCCGAAGAAAATCGAACTTATCTCACGGGAAACAGTTTGTTAGCGGGAGACTTGTTTTAACTGATAAAAAATCGTCGTCTGATTTTATTTTGAAAAATGTTCACTATTTATAGGTGAATGAGTGGGAAAATTCCACGCAATATTTTCAAGAAATTTCAATTTTTTTGATCTCAAATATTTGTCGGCCAAATGAGTTGTCGGCGAAGTGTACATGTCGGCCAAACAATTTGTCGGCGAAGTGGTGTCGGTTAAGTGATGAGTCGGCCAAGTGATTGTCGGCCAAGTGAACGCGACCCTAGTGCATCTATATAAACGCATCCTTAATAATATCGGGATTAAAGCTTTGGATTTCAAGCATTTACATAACCTTTAGAAAACCACATAGATCAATCTATCTAGGAGCGATATCAGCGTTCTACACAGCATTATACGTAGTCATGATATATCTCTTTCTTCATTTGCTATTTCCTTTGATCCTATCAAAAATGCACAATAAATAACAACCAGAGCTTAAATCAAATAAAATTTCCCTAAATATTAGATGGATATTCGATTTTATTGCAAAAAAAGAAGTGATTATCGATCGGATTTCAATGGCTTCGAAATGATATACACTAGCATGCCTCGGATTAGTGAAAAGAATCGCGAAACATGGTTTAAAAAAATGCGTCTTGTTCTTTTCATCATCCTAATGTTACTGATATTACGAAACATGTGATATTTTTTATGCATTGATTCATTTACCAATATGAAACGCGAACAATAAATCAACGAATACAACAGAGTGAATCAGTCTCATCTATCCGACTATTTCATTCAGCAACATGGTATTTTTCTCTTTGCACTTTCTTCTTTGACAGTATCCCAACAGTTCGAAGAATGCACCTGCCAAGAATGGTCTTGTCACTATTTCATAATGATTCTTGTTCTATAGATGTTGAAAAAGTGAAAGAACACGACAAATAGAAAATATTTCTTGAAAGACAAATCACGACAGTGATCAACATTGCGTGCGTATGGATGTTGGTGTGGTTATTTTCATAGTAGAGAATCACATCCAGACTCCACACTCTGATCAGAGTTTTGTTGATTTAAATTTGATTTGCAAAGATGAATTTTTCTACTTTGGCAACAATATAGTTAATTTAGCTAATGTAACAATCATTATAATTAGCCATGTTCTCAATGTTGAACATGTACTTTGGAGTAATGCGACAGGATACGCTTTCATCTCCCTCATAGCAGATACTTATCAAATCGGTGCTAAGGCTCCAAAATATTCAACTTTTAACACTATTATGACAGGCGATTGGAAAACAGCATCGACTGAAGAACTTGTGATTTTCTTCAACGTGTTCTTGTCTCATATACTCTTACAGTTCCTAAAGTTCCTATTGAGGAAACACACACTTCAACAATGAAAGCTGAATTTGTTGCTTAAGTTCCCGCTACTGTATTAGTTGTATTGCCAACAATCATTGATTTTGATGAATTGGAAGCCAACGAAGATATAACACAGATTGATTTAACCTTCACAAACTATGAACTTATCCGTTTGGATAGTTTTCAATTGAATTACCCAAAGTCTGATTCTTACTTCAGATTCACCATTCAAAAAACATCATTTGGTAGCATTGAAGCGAATTCTTCAATCATAGTGTCAGTATTCATCGATCGTGGCACATGTCATCGAGTCAAAAGAGCAAATCGTATTGAAAGAGCAGCAGATTTCTTGGCTACATATATTTGTGGAGGTCTACGCTATATTATCGGACGCATGCTCATTATTCGTACCAGACGGTCAACTCCAATTATTTCACTGATATGGCCATGGTAGGGTGCATCTGGGGGAAGTATCTGTGGCGGTACTAGTGGAGAAGTAGAATTCATAAGTATACCACCAATCAAATTCAAAAGTTCAACATGCGACAGTTGCGTCAGTGCTATTCTTCAGTGTACGGCTTCCTTGATTCCGGTACTAAATTCCCAAAAAGTAACAGAATTCATAACGAACCTAATAAAAATGGCTGATAGTTGCTATAAGTTACAATTACTTAAGTTCGTACAAAAACGAGAGATCATATTGAAAAGGGTGTGGGTGTGGGTGGCGTGTGTGGGTGTGGGTGGCGTGTGTGGGTGTGCGTGTTGTAAGAGAAGACAATATCCCCATCCACACCCACACCCACTGTTAGCGCTCATGCTCACGAAGAGCGACGAATACAGTTAACGTGCGTGTGTGGTTTATTCTGTCTGTTTATTCTTGGGGTGTGGGTGTGGGTGTGGGTGTGAGGAGGTGGGTGTGGGTGTGGGTGTGGGTGTGGGGTGTGGGTAGGTGTGGGCGTGGATGTAACTGAAATTAATACCCACAATCACACCCACACCCACATCCACACCCTTTTCGGAATTAAATCAATGGAACTAATGTGAAAAGTTCAGTGCAAATATTTTAAGACGCTCGATTTAGCATACATGTGACAATCATACTTTTTAAATAGAAATTCCGCTTTTAAAATATCCATCGTAGTTCTTTTTAGTTGTGTGACTCATCTTGATTTTTATTGTCAATAACAACTAATTTCAAAATAAGTTTCACATAGAGTTTTTCATCATTTTATTTCGGGTGGAAAAGTTTGTAGAAATGTATATGGCGTCTTGTACAATGTTATTTTCAAAACTTAGGAAATATTATTTCATCCGAATATTTCTATATAGATCTTATAGTATGATAATATGATCTTTTTCAAGAAACAAATACACCACTACGGAACTACGAAGTAAGAATGGTTCTTAAAATTAACTCGAATTGGATTTCATACCTTTAGATGGTAACAAATCTTAGAGATAAATGTGAAAATGTGTATGTGCTGATCAGTAACATTAGCAATAGAATACAAAATGAAAAAAATGAAAACTAATTTAAGGATTCAACGGACAATGAAAGATTCGAATCGTGAGTTATTCCACTTGGTAAAGGTCGACCAGCTGGTTACGATGGTAATAAACGCTTTCTTCATACTACCTCTTTAGATGGTTTCCAGATTGAATTAATCCTATGGAGCATCATATATGGATGCTAGAATGCACAGACCGATATACGCCTACTGCATATGTTTTTTATGAATGAATTAACTAAATCATTTATTTTATTCGATGTTGACCCTAGAGAAAGTACTGAGTTCAGGGTACCCATGTACTGAGAAAGCTCTAGCAGGGTACCCAATATGGGTACTTTGAAAATTCTCAGTAATTTTACTGATGTATGTACTGTTTGGGGTACCCGTAAAAGTACATTCACTGAATAAGTACCTGCATGGATACACAAGTCTGTAACTTTACTGAGGAAATCTCGACAGGGTATCCTAAATTTTTCGCGTTCTGTGTGGCGACTATTCATTCACCGTTTTCTTTTTTACGAACGGCTCTATATAAACAACTCGATAAATCATAAGAAAATAATCAATTTTCATACTAGTTTTTTCTAAATTATTTCTTGACTATTTCTTAGTCGAGGAAATGCCGAGCTTGGTCGTAAATTAAGATCGGACTACCCTGAAGTGGTCTACGACCAACTCAAGTTGGGTCGGATCCCGACATTGTTCCTGCTAAGTTTTTGGAATTGAAAAAATTAAATTGAATAAAGTAAAAAAAATCTAGTAAATTATCTCAAGAAAAACAAAAAAAAATTTTTAAAAGTCAAAGATCAGGTTCGATCCTGAACATACTGAAAATTTGGTAACAGGGTACTTAGAAATACTATACAATGGTACCCAATTCAGTACTTGATCAGTACCTTTAGGTACCCAATTACTGTGCATTTTCCAGCAGGGTACTTGCCAAAGTACCACTTAGGTACCTGTAAGTACCTGCAAGTACTTTGGTACCGAAAAGTTCCTGTGACATACTGGTATCAGGGTACTTTTTTGGGTACCCTTAACTCAGTATATTCTCTAGGGGAGTGATTGCTTTTATCTGTCACATGTTTTAATAATCATCACAGTTACATGCAGGTCTTTCTATTCATGAACTGTATGAGTACAAAATGTTTGTTTTTCTCGTTATAATTACAAATCGAGAGAGAAAGAAAAAGATAAGTTAAGTTTACTGCTATCTCTCTTTCTCCCTTGGCCTATTGCGTGATAATATTCAATTGAAAGAAAAAAGCTAACAGAAATTTAACATGCTAAATATTATACAACGTGTACTTAATCCAATATTATTGAAACACAAAACCTATTCAACTCACTTGATCGAAAAAAGAAACGACAACCACTGAACAATTGATGAGCTTATTGAACGACTTTGTTGCAAGTGACAAAGATGAAATTGGCAGCGATAGTATTTTGAAGTTCATTGACAATATCGATATCGTCTTTACGTCTGGAATTCTTCGTTGAATCTGGTTAAGTTTAAGTAAAACCCACCCCATCATGGCACATAAGTAACTGATATGAGTCAAGTCAGATATTTAGAGAATAGAGATCTAAAGCCATCGTTTTTTTATTTAGCTAGTTTAAATGAAAAATATCAATACACTGGAGTTAAACAGGTTCAGAATTTTGCTTTATATTAACGAATGAGAAGACACAGCGAATGATTGTTGGACATTAAACTTCATTGCTGCTTTTGTCTTTGTTCCCATTCTTTAAATTTTTGAAGTTCTGATAAGCATGAATTTACTGCCAAACGAATGACATACGCATCGTCCATAAATCCAACCACAGGAATGGCATCAGGAATAAAGTCGCATGGTGCTACAGTATATATAATTGCACCAGCTAAGGTAAGAAATGTCTGACGGTTGACTGTGTATGTCCCAGAAAGCGAGAAAGTCACTAAACGAACGATGGTATATAAATCCTCTCGAACGAACGTCAGTGCGAAGGCACTATAGAGCTTTCGTATCTGACTTAGTGCGCTCGTGACTGCAGTTCCAGTAGGATCTTGTGCTCTTTCCTCAGAGTTCTGAAGAGTAGAGGCAAAACTTCCCATGCTTAATAGTGCTGTTGGTTCGAGGATGAATTTCAAATCAGTAGTTTTCTTTTGTTATTCCAGTTGCTGACAATAACGAACTCAAAGAGAAAGTTTCAAACAAGAAGAACTTGAGGAACAGCGAGACTTCTAAGATAAGTGAAGACGAAAAGATACAAACGCATGTGTTTTTATCATTATTTATTTGTTTATTTATTTAATCATCTTTTTTCATTCTTGGTGCAGTGCGAATGTTTTCGAGAAAAAGGACAAGTTAAAAAATTGCTAAGGTTGCATTGTAAAGACTCCAAGTATGGTCAACAAAGCACTTCAGTATTTCGTCATTCTAATAATTTTGGATTTCGTTCTTTTCAAGGTTAATCCTTGTTAGTTCGACTGTGAATGAAGATGTGGA